CGAAGGGTAAGTTCCATGTGGCTGCTGGAGCTAGTGTTGAGAGAGAGAAAATGCCAGGGAGAAGCAAGGTGATCTTTTCTAATCTTTCCTCAGAAACCAAGCAGCATTGCTTCCATGTCATTTTATTCATTGAGGCAAAGACTTAGCCAAATTCAAAGATCAACTATACCTCTTGACAATGGAGTGGCAAGATTCTGGAAGAGTTTGGGGAACCAGAGTTTATTTTCGCAGCCATTTTTCGAAAATACAATCTGTCGCAGATAGCATCCTGTTTATTAAGTGGGGTTGTAGATTCTTGAGATTAAGTAGACACCTTTGTATATTTCACAATATTTGATAGAAAAATAAAAACTTAAGTGGAAAAAATGAGGTGTTCTTAGAGCTCCACATCTCCACAATTCCCCACATCCAAGGGAGGGAAGCAAGTCCTGGAGAAGTAGTAAGCACAAACTTGCCCTTACATGGATATGTAACAGAAAATTTTGTAAACTATATCTGAAGAATGGAGCAGCAAGTATGTGTGTGTATGGTGTGAAAGCCCTAAATCCTCATCTTTGTTGAGAAGTCAACAGATAATGCCTAAAGTTGGAAAAATCTAGAAACAATATAAGCATGTAATTTAGAGATACGATAGTGAATGGCAACATAAGCAGCTAAAAGGGTTGAAAATAGTTGTTTCTGGGAGTGGGAAATCAGGTCACAAAGTGGGAACTACATGATTCCTTTCACCAGGTACGTATGCTTAATGTACTAAATTTAAGAGAGGAAAATGAACAAATGGATAAGCTAAACCACAGATTATATCGTTGAAGATAGAATTAAGGCTTCTGGCAATACTTTTGTTCACGTGAACACAGCAATATTATCCAAATGGATTCTTCATATCTCCTTAACTTTATTTTGCTGTATAATAACAATACTAATATCAAGTTAATGGCAAAAGTCAGAACAGGGTACTATGAAAAAGGAGCAGAGATCAAGAAAGAGTTATTTAAATAAAAATATTAGTGTTGGAAAAAATCTGTATCAGGACTGATAGACTGGACCCAGATAAGGAACAAATTAGTGAACTGGTACACAAAGGCAAAGAAATGGTTCAGAATGGAAAGCACAAAGACGGAAATGGAAGATATGCAGGTAAAGTTAAAAGATATAGAAGATCAATCTAGAAGGGCCAATGGTCACCTAATACCTACATTCCAGAAAGAAGTAACAAAATGGAGAGGAAAAATCATTTAAAACAATTTTTACAGCTAAGAATGACACGCGTCCAAATTTCAAGATGGTGCTGACTCACAACAAAGAACTAAAAAAGCCCTAGATAAATCCTCATGAAATCCTCATGAAATTTCAGAACTTTAAAGAAACAAAGAAAAATCTGAAACACTTCAAAAGATAAAAAACAGGTTTCTTGCAAAGGAGTAAGTATCAGATTGGCAGCAAGATTCTCTTCAACTATATTAGATATTAGAGGGCAATGGAGGAATGTTTCCAAAGTTTTGTGAGGAAAGAAAAATATACAGAAATGCAGGATCCAAGATATAGTAAGACTCATTCATCCAGAAACACAATAAAAAGAAATTCCAGAATGATCATTCAGCTGTGCATTAGGCCTAAGGATAATTGATCAAAATTAGAACAGGAAATTAGACTGTTCTGTGAAAAATTTGCTCAAGAAAGCATATGCCTCTTTTGTTATTAAGAAGTAATTTATTGAAGTAGGAACACTTGAGCCCAGGAGTTTGAGGTTGCTGTGAGCTAGGCTGACGCCACGGCACTCTAGCCCGGGCAACAGAGCAAGACTCTTGTCTCCAAAAATAAATAAATAAATAAGAAGTAAATTATCAAACTAACATTTATTGAGTACTTAAGATATACTAGGCACCTTGTTAAATCTTTTATGTGCTCACAAAATTATTTAATGCTCACAATGATCCCATGAGGTAGGTAATATTAGTAACCTCATTTTATATATAAGTAAACTGAGTCTTAAGCAACTTGCCCAATATAGCTAGCTAGTGATAGAGCTGAGATTTAAGGAACCATAAACCCTGGAGAAGGGAGTCTACCCAGAGTGACAGAGTGAGATGCTGTCTCAAAAACACACACACACACACAGAAAATAACAAGTGTTTGAGGATGTGGAGAAACTGGAACCCTTGTGCACTGTTGATGAGAATGTGAAGTGGTGCAGCAACAGTATGGAGATTCCTAAAAATATAAAAAATAGGTCGGGTGTGGTGGCTTGCACCCATAATCCTATCACTTTAGAAGGCCGAGGGGGCAGGATCGCTTGAGGCCAGGGGTTCCAGACCAGCCCGAGCAACATGCAACACTCTGTCCCTTTGAAAAATAGAAAAATTAGCCGGGCATGGTGGCGCACACCTATAGTCGCAGCTACTTGGAAGGCTGAGGCAGGAGGATCACTCCAGCTCAGGAGTTTGAGGTTGCTGTGAGCTACCATGATGCCATTGCCCTCTAGCCTGGGCAACAGAGTGGGACCCTATGTCAAAAAACAAAAACAAAAATGAAATCCTACCATATATTACAGCATGGATTAAACTCATGGACATTATGCTAAGTGAAATAAGCCAGTCACAAAAAGACAAATGCTGCATTATTTCACTTACATGAAAGTATCTAAAGCAGTCAAACTCTTAGAAAGTAGAATGGTGGCTGCCAGGGGCTAAAGGAAGGAGGGAAATGAGTTGTTCAATGGGCACAGCGTTTTGCAAGTTCTAGAGATCTGTTTCACAATGTGTGTGTAATTAATACTACTGTACAGTTAAAAAATGGTTAAAATGGTAAGTTTTGTTTTGTGTTTTTTACCACAAAAAAACATGCTAGCGGCCGGGCGCGGTGGTTCACGCCTGTAATCCTAGCTCTCTGGGAGGCCGAGGCGGGTGGAGGTTTGAGCTCAGGAGTTCGAGACCAGCCTGAGCAAGAGCGAGACCCCGTCTCTACTAAAAATAGAAAGAAATTAATCGGACAACTAAAAACATATAGAAAAAACTAGCCGGGCATGGTGGCGCATGCCTGTAGTCCCAGCTACTCGGGAGGCTGAGGCAGTAGGATCACTTGAGCCCAGGAGTTTGAGGTTGCTATGAGCTAGGCTAACACCACGGCACTCACTCTAGCCCAGGCAACAGAGTGAGACTCTGTCTCAAAAAAAAAAAAGAAAAAAAACATGCTAGGAAACCAAATGGTTATTTTGAAAAGTGTTAAATAAGGGAGAGAATCAAGCACCTATCCTGCCTTTGTTATACGAACTGTATCTCAGGAACCAACTATGTGAGGGGAGCTTTCTCTTTACAGAAGAATAGTAGTTAAGGAATGAAGAATGAATGAAATTATTTAGGCAATGTTGTTCATCAATGGTGGTTAAAATTGCAAAGAGTGAATCAGGCAGACGCCATGTGCTTCCTGATGGAAAGATATCATCATCTGTGAAATATCTTAACAAAAATGAACCCAAATCTGGTCAAACATCTAGGTTTAAGAATTAATAAATATACAGGAAATAGAGGGGACAGAGCAACACCTACACTCAATAACCAAAATCTGAACAGTGGAAAACTATAGGAGAAACAGCCAGTTTCTTCAGCAAACAAATTGGAAGGCCAAGAAAACAAGGGGGCTATAGATTAGAAGAAATTTAGAAGATAGTTTACTAGTAAAACATATGGACCTTATTTGGACAAACTGTTAAAAAATACAAGACAACTGGGGAAATTTGAACTCTACTTGGTAGATATTTGATGATATTAAGGAATTATTGTTAACTTTTTGAGGTGAGATGGTAATGTGGTTATGTTTTTAGAACAGTTCTTATATATTAAAATATAAGTATGCATATATATCAAATATATTGAAATATATAATGGAACATATTACTCAATATATATTAATTATATTGAAATATTTCAGGTAGAATTTTTTAAAAATGGAAAATAAAAAAGTGCATGAAAGTCACATTTCAACATGAATTCAAATGTGACATGATTTTGAGCAATTGATAGAGTCTAAGAAAATTTGATCCTGATGTTTGCAAGTTTCTCTTTTGGCGTTGAAGATTTACTAACATAAAATTACCTTCTTTCTCAGGGTCCAGTCATATTACTTAGTTCTTTCAAGAAATAATATTGCATTTCAATTTCTAAAACTGTCTTATAGACTATTATGAAAGCTTGTAGTTACCAAACAGAATGTAAATCTTATAAATCTTGACATTTTAAAGTAATGATATGGTAGACCAGAGTCTGAAAGGGCAAAGGGTGAGAAGAGACGAAGGAGGTGATCCTGTCCTAAATTTCTCATCTCAAATTGGGGACCAGGTTTTAGGGCATATTGTTTAGATAGCTGCTAGGAAATTAGAAATAATATTTACTTAATCCCCTTATTATTTATAATTTTCAAATTTCATGCAAGTATTACTTTTCTAATAAATTTTATAAAATGTTTAAATTTTGAATTTTAACCTGGCAACTAAAACATCAAATCCTAGAAAGCAGATACTTAGTCTTATATTTTTTTATTGCTTCTCCCCACCCCCCAATCAACAACGCTAGTACATGTACTCAATATCATATTACTCAACATCAAATGTACAATATTTATATGTGGTCAATATCAATTCCTTAATGGTATCCTGTTTCTAAAAAATCTTGGCTCTGGGAAAGGTTCTCTGGAATAATCTGAGCCAATTATTTTTAGACGAGGAAACTGAAGTTCCCAAAGGAGGAACCCCAGTCTTGGGAAGCCTTGGCTAGGTGAGCGTTCTACCATGTGCATTCCTTCTAGATGCAGCATCTGAAAACTCTAAAAGTCGCTTCGGCAGGAAACCTACGGCGCCTACTTTGGAAGCCAGACCACAAGCACGCCCGAGAGCTCCAGCTCTGCGCACGCGCAGAGCCATCTCCGCGTCAGGGGCGCGGGAGTCTTCTGCGGCCGGGCTCCCTGCGGCTGAGAGGCGGCTTCCGCCCGGTGGGTTTTGCACGGCGCACCCGGGAGGCGGGACCTCTGGGACAAGATGGAGTTACTACAGGTTCTGAAGCGCGGGCTGCAGCAGGTCAGCGGTCACGGCGGCCTCCGCGGCTATCTACGAGTTTTGTTCAGGTAGGCGGCCAGCGCCATGCTGTTGGCCTGTGGGGTTAGACTTGCGCTGGCTGATTTCTTGGAAAGGGGCCCCAGCTTGCATCACCTTGGAGAATCCACAGCTCTTGTCAAGGACAACTGGCCCAGTCTTTCCCTCGCAACCCCGGGGCCGAAGCCTCTGTCCGGGATTTCCCCAAGACAGGACCGAAGCCGAGAGACAGAGCTGTGACACGGAGGTTAGGGCATCTGGGCTGCATCGCTACCCCGCGCCCTAGAGAGTAATGATCATTACAAAACATTAACTCGGTGACCTTGGGAAAGTTTTATTCCCTGCACTGACCTTTAGTTCCCTCTGTATAGTAAGGCATTGAAGGAGGTCATCATAACATAATGGTCCCTACTAGTCCTGACATTCGTTGACCCCAGGAGCAGTATCGTCCGCGGAAACCGAGATGGAGACCTAGAACAGAATGTTCTAGGAAACATTGTATCATTTTAAGAAGATGAAATACTTTAGCTTCCTGATTGCCTGAAGGTTTTGCTAACTTCAGTGCCTCATGGCTGAGGAATAGTAGATAAAAGTAGTCCTATAATTTGAAGATACCGCATTTATATTTTCAGTGTAGCTTAGGCACATCAGTTGCTTAAATTTGTCTTTTGTCATTTTGTTTGCATAATACTGGAGGCAGCATGAACAAGGATTCTGGAGCTTTTAACCTAAAAGGTGATTCTTCAACATTGGGTAGTGAGAGCCTGGAGATGAAGGCTGAAAGTGTACAACCTGTGACCATCCCCAGCACCTCTTCATTTTTCGAGTTGATGCAGCAGCCTTTGTATCTGGAAGTTGGTATTCTCACTTTGTGTTTTGAACAAATTATTCTAAAATGTCTGTTTTCTTCTGGGCATTCACAGGGCAAATGATGTGAGGGTTGGTACATTAGTAGGGGAAGACAAATATGGAAACAAATACTATGAAGACAACAAGCAATTTTTTGGTGAGTGTGGTATTTTTTGGTGTGAATAATGGGATTGGGATTTGAGTTGAGTCTGTTTTCCATGTTACACAAAGAATTTCTACAAAGCACTTGAAAGAATGAAAAACTCAGTAGAAAAATAAAAGGTAATTGACAGAAAAAGGTAACTAAATAGCCAAAAAAGGCATGGAAAAAAACGCATCCTCACTTATAATTAGAGAAATGCAACTTAAAAAACAGTGTTATCTTTTTTTCACCTATCAAATTTTGAAATAGTCTTCAATCTGATAAATCCCAGTGTGGGGAAAGGCATAGGAATATATAGGTTAATGCAGTCTTTTTGGAAGACTTTTTGGTAATTGTCAAAATTTACATTGCACATATCCTTTGTCTCAGCACTTTCACTCTAAGAATTCATTTTACAAATGTTCTTGCAAAACAAAGATACCCATCACAACATTGTTTTAGTGGTAAATTCTAAAAGCAACGTTAACATGCATAAGTTGGATAATGATGAGTTACACATTTTTTAGACTAGTGCGTTGCTGTTATGAATTAGATAAACCTACAAATTTAATAGACATGTCAAAGATGTGTGTGTAACATAGAAAACTCCAGTTGCAGAACAATGTTTGATATGCTCAAAGGGAGAAAAGGTATGCTTTTTGTGTGCATATTAAATCTTGGAAGGAAACATAAGAAACAGAAGTAGAATGAGATGGTAAGGGTTCAGCATTCTGTCCCTTCACTTTATAACTTTGTGACCTGGTTAGCTTAACTTCTCTAAGCCTCAGTTTTCTCATCTGTAAAGTAGAATAATAATAATATGTGCCTCATAAAGTTGTATTAAAAAATAGATGGAAAGTGACTGTGAGTAGCTTATCCCAATGTAGGGTTTCTCAACTTCACTATTAACACTGTGGGCCAGATAATTCCTTGCTGTAAGGGGCTGTCCTGTGCATTGTAAAATGGTCAGCAGTGTCCCTGGCATCTGTGTGTTAGATTCCAGTAGGGCCTTCTCTCTGCAGTTGTGACAACCAAAATGTCTCCAGACATTGCAAAATTGCCCCCTGTTGAGAACTACTGGTCTAATGCTTGGCACATAATAAGTGCTCAATAAATATTAGCACTATTACTGGCATTATTATTGGTATAGGTTGAGTATACCTTATCTGAAATGCTTGGGACCAGATGTGTTTTGGATTTTGCTTTGTTTTCACATTTTGGAATATTTACATTATATTTTCTGGTTGAGCATCCCTCATACAAAATCCAAAATGTTCCAATGAGTATTTATTTCTTTTGAGCATCATGTCGGCACTCAAAAAGTTTTGGATTTTGGAGCATTTCAGATTTTGGATTTTCAGATTAGGGATACTCAACCTGTACCTTCTTGAATTGTTAAATTTTTTTTCCCATGTGTATTTGTTCCTTGTAATAAATAATAAAAAAATTTCTCTTGATTGAGATGAAAAGTATCAAAGAGGAAAAAACAATTAGTCTTCATCCAGGGGAACAATCTATAATGTGAAATAAAACTAGCCTAGCATTTATTGTGTGCTTATCATGTGCTAGGTGCTGTGCTAAACAAATAATATACATTACCTTATTTAATCTTCAACATCTCCTTGAGGTAGATACTTTATTCCTCCCTCCCCCCATTTTACAGATGACAAAACTAAGTCATTGAGCAGTTAGGAATATTTCTTGGGAATATGTTAACTGTGTGTGGTTGCATTGGAAGCACGTTCGTCTACAAGATGTAAACAACATCTTATGTACTTCATAACCATAATATTTTTAATATACAGATTATAGAATTTTAGACCTGGAATAGATTTTAAGAGATTATCTAAAAACTATTGTTTTATAGATGAAGAAACTGGGGCCCAAGAAATTGTCTTAACCAGAGGGACTTAGTGAAATAACACAAGTAGTTAGTGGCAGAGCCACCTGAGGCAATATTCTTTCTACTCATCATTTTGTTATAAACTGTAACACTAAAATCCTTTCTTTTCTCCCTTTCTTCTTTCTTCTTTCCTCACACTGGAAATAACTTTATTTTTGCTAATTTAAAAAATTAAATGTGCTGTTGTAAAACATTAAAATTTAGCATATGAGGTGAAAATTAAAACCTTCTCCTCTTGTAATTTTACAACTCTTTTAATAGTTTAGCCTGTATATATACTTAAGATTCTTTAATGAATATGTAAACCTATATGTACATTTGACCCTTGAACAACATGGGTTTGAAATGGATGGGTCCACTTATATGAGGATTTTTTCCGACCAAATATGGATCAAAAATACAGTATTCCCAGATGTGAAACACACATATGTGGAAAGCTGACTCTTCCTATAGGCAGGTTCCACAGAGCTGACTGTGGCACTTGAATATGTGTGGTTATTACTATAGTTGGAGGGGCAGAGTCCTGAAACCAGTCTCTCAAGTATACTGAGATATGACTGTACTTTTCTTTTTAATTCATGGGATTATGTTATGCATGTTCGTACTTTTTTTTTATTTTTTGAGGCAGGGCCTTGTTTTGTGGCCCAGGCTAGAGTACAGTGGCATCGTCAGAGTTCACTACAACCTCAAACTTTTGGGCTCAAGTGATTCTCCTGCCACAGCCTCCTGGGTAGCTGAGACTATAGCACACGCCACCACGCCTGGCTAATTTTTCTATTTTTTGTAGAGATGGGGTCTCACTGTATTGCCCAGCTGGTCTCGATCTCCTGATGTCAAGTGATTCTCCTGCCTTGACCTCCTAAAATGCTAGGATTACAGGTGTGAGCCACCGTGCACCACCTGTTATACATGTTAGTAAACTGAAATGTCTTTACTTTAAAAATATGGGTCATTTTTCCATAATTAGTAAGTTAGATGTATCTATAGCATTCTTTTTTTGCTTGGATATCTGGTGTGTTTTTTAATTAAAAAAAAATTTCACAGCATTCTTTTTGATAACAACACAATATTCCACTGATGGAAGAACCATTATTTTTTCAAACATTTCACTATTAATAGACATTTAGGTTGCTTTTGGCTTTTTGATATTAAAAATAATGCTGCAGGAAACTTATAACTACATTTTCATTTGTTTAAATATTCTAAGGATAAATTCCTGGAAATGGAATTGCCAACTCCTGCATGTGAACATTTAACATTTTGAGAGATATATATACATCCACACACTTACTGGAGCTTGCCTTCACTAATGCACCCAGAGTGTTATTCCTCTAAAATTTCTCTTATGTAACAGCATATAAAAGTCTTTTATTAATATAAAGGTTATCTTCTTTGATATTAAGCATTTATACTTTTTTAAAAAAGGTTTTCTTTATTTCTTCACATCTTTCTAAATGTTGATCTTTCCACCCAGGCCGTCACCGGTGGGTTATATATACTACTGAAATGAATGGCAAAAACACATTCTGGGACGTGGATGGAAGCATGGTGCCTCCCGAATGGTAAGCCAAGTTAAGATTTTATTTTATTTGACTTGGCAATATTTGCTTTATTACACAAATATTTAGTGGATATCTATTTATGAGACGGGTATTTTTCTCCAAGCATCTGTCCCAGTTACAATGGCTGCACAATAAGTTACCCTAAAACTTAGTGGCTTAAAACAATTATTTATCTCACATAGTTTGTCTGGGTCAGGAGTTCAGACAAGACAAACCAGGATGGCTTATTTTTGCTCCTGGACATTTGGGGCCTCAGCTGGAAGACTCAAAGGCTGGACACAGGAATCATCTGAAGACTTGTTCACTTAGTATCTGGCAGTTAATGCTGGCTTTCAGCTGAGGGCACAGCTGGGGCTGTGGGCTGGAACACTTTAATGTTGCCTGGGCTTCCTCAGGCAAGTGCCTTGAGAGAGAGAGAGCCAGGTGGAAGCCATATTGCCTTATCTGACTTAGTCTTGGAAATCATCCAGTATCACTTCCATACTCCATTGGTTGAGGCAATTAGAAAGCACTGCCCAAGTTGAACATGAGAAAACATAGACCCTATCTCTTGATGGAGGTGTGTCAACACATTATATATTGGGATATGTAATGTGGCTGTCTTTAGGAAAAAATAGTATGCCACAGTATCACCTGTCTGAGTACAGGAAAAGGTAAAAGGAACTTTGGTTCTCATCTTATCTGGTAGTTTGACTTTAAGCAGGTTCCTTAATTTCTTTAGGGCTTACTTTCCTCGTCTGTAAAAGGAAAGCCCTAACATTTCTTAGGTCTCTAAAAACTCTATAATATGAATATTTAAAAATGAAATTCTAAATGCTCTTACTTGAATTACCAAATTTTATATGAAATATTTCAAACCAAATATCTTATATCTGTTTCATAGACTGCTGAAATAATACCATGTGGTTGATATATAGATAAACTCTGGAGATCCTTTCAGTTGGTTTAGAAAATTTCACCAAAAAACTGGAAATAAGTTTATCAAGTTGGCTGTGGTATTTTATTTTAGTTGAACTTGATCATCGGAAATAGTTTGGGGCTCTGTTGAGCAGAAACTGGGATAATGCCAGCACATTCTCTTTCGTTCTAAAGACTTACTAGGAAACCCACATATGTGATCTAAGTGAGTGAAGTGAGGAGAGTGCAGATATGAGACAATGGGAAGTGGTGGGGACTACAGGGAACGGAAAGTACAGACTCCATCAAAGGGGCCAGCAGCCTATTTCACTCTCCCCAGTTCTATCAGGCGAGAATTCCGCCAAGAGTCTATAGATAGGATTTTCAAAAGAAGGTGGAAATCTGTATTTTTTTGTGAGAGTTCCTGTTTTTCAGTGTTAATTTTTAAAAATATTTGACAATTTAAATACAGCATTATCCAATAGAACTTTCCACAATGATGGAAGTGTTCTATATCTGTGTTATCCAATAGGGTAGCCACTTGCCAGATGTGGCCCAGAGCACTTGAAAATGTGGATAATGCAACTGAAGAAATGGATTTTTAAAAAATTATTTAAATTAAATAGAATACTCGATTGGACAATTTTCAAAAAATACTGTGGTGAGCTAAGCAAAACATATCTGTACTGTACATATTTTGCTTAGCTACAACCAGTTTTCAACCTCTGGTCTACTACTTGGATTATTGAGAGCGTTGACCATGTCACTGATGTGGTTTGCAGACCATAATAATGGATGATGTTTTTATAGAAAACTCATTGTTGCTTAACGTGAGAAAGCAGCACTGATTGGGGACTTTCTTGTGCTACATTTGGGGCTTGATTTTGTGCTCTTTTTAATGAGAAATAATAATCTGTGATTCTGTTAAGTTCTGAAGAGCTGTGATTTTTGGTTTAGAGCTATCAACCTTTTCCAATAAGGCATTTTGTGTATTAGGAGGACTGAGTGTTTGTGTCCAAGGTCTCAGTGGAATGTAGGCTTTAGGAGCTGAGGTGCCCTAGTTTTTGTCTGATTGTTTCTTGGGTGGAGTTGGTACTGGGAGCATATGGAAGGCACGTGGGCTATCTTGTTCAGATTGATGTCTGTCTCCTTCAAAAAACTCACCTAACTTTGGTGCTCAGGGTCCACATTTTGGGAGATGAGGGATGAGGGGGGCTGATTTAAATTATGTGAGATGAAACATGTTTAAAAATTATAAAATACTAAAAACCTGAAACGATAAAAGTACTATTCATCCAAGCAAATATTTTTATATGATGTGAGATCACAGTGGAAAAGAAGCTGAGAGCTGTAGAAGATAAGATCACTCCAGCGGGAGCCTGAGGGCAGTTGAGGATACAAAACTGAATTTCTTTGTAGAGAGGAGCCTCCTAAGGGCTGAGTACCTTTGATGACCCTTGTTTGTGTGGGAAGCTTAAAGGCTTGTGATGAATCTTTAGAGGGAGAAGTGATATTGGGTAAGCTCAACTGTTTGTCTCTCAAACCCCCCTGTCCTGAATGTAGTACATTGTAGAATTCTAAATTGTGGCTTCTTACCTTTGATCCATGAATAAACTTATAATTGGGTTGATTTATCTTTAATTACAGAGCTTTGTATTATTGTGTATATATAGAGTAGTGAATAACAAATACAACTTACCATCTTTATTCATTCAAATAACTATTTAGTACCTACCAGGTGCCAAGAACTATTGTAGGCACTGGGGATACAACAGTGAATAAAACCAGTCCTTGCTTTCGTAGGGGAGGCAGAAAAACGTATATGTTACGTATTTGAGGTAGCATAAACTCAAGGAAGATAATAGGAATTGGTAAGGGGGTAGAGAGCAATGGGAAGGTCAGGTGGCTGCTTTATACAGGAATTAGGGAAGGCTTCTTGGAGGAAGTGACATCTGAGGAAAGACCTAGAAGAGGGAGAAAGAGTTCCAGGCAGAGGGAACCACAGGTGCAAAAGCCTGTATGTTTGAGATGTCTTGCTTGATCTGTTCAAAGAATAGCAATATGGCCAATTTGGCTGGAATGGAATGAGTGAGGGGAAGATGTTAAGAAATGAGGTAGGAGAAATAGCTAGGGCCCAGATCTTATAGATCTTGTAAGCCATGGTAAACATTTTGGCTTTTTTCCTAAATTTCTTTGGAAGTTACTGGAAGGTAAGGTAGGATGTAATCTGATTTACAGTTTTTTTAACATTTGGAGCCATCCTGAACTTTCAGAATCATTACAAGTATTTGAATGATTTCAAAGTAGTTGCCAAAATGTTGCCCCATCACTTCTGAATACTTCAGTGTGTAATTCCTACAAACAAGGACATTTTCCTGTATAACCACAATATAACCATTGATATCAGAAATTAGCAATGATACATCATGTAGGGGAGGCAAAATTTTACCTCTAACTTCTTAGGGCCTTTTAACTTGACCTGAGAATTAAATTGATATAAGGCATCAACAGGAGAAACGTGTACACATTTATTTAATACAAGTTTTACATTTCCTCATAAGGAAATGAAGACCCAAAGACACAGTTAGTGTTGAACATTTATATACTGAATTGGACAAAGAGTAGAATGTTGTGAAAAGGGACTTGGGCTAGGGTAGTTAATTGGGTAGGGAAGTGACTAAAAAGGTAAGGATTGGTTTAAGAAGTTTGTACAGATTTCCCTTGACCTCAACTTCCTATCTTTGATGAAGAATGATACTTTCCTTCTGATATAGGGAGGACATCTTTTATGTGGGAATTTTACCTCCTCCTTTTAAGAATAAGAAGGAAACTCAGGAGTATTTCTTGTGCCTGCTGTTTTTCAAGTGCCTTTAACTCAAAATAGTCAATATGCCAGACCAGCATATTTTGGAGCGGCATGGTCTGAACTCCTTAGCCACTACTGTCTAATCTTCAGATCTCATTCATATTTTATCAGTTGTCCTAACCTTGTCTTTTATAGCAAGAAGATCTAAACACACATTTAGTATAGATCTCAAGTCTCTTTGGTCTCCTTCACACTGGATTGGTTCTTCAGCTTTTCCTTGATTTTCACGACCTTGAAACTTTTGAAAATTATAGGATGGTTATGTTGTAGAATGGCCTTCAATGTGGGTTTCTTGAATGTTTCCTCATGACTACGTTCAAGCTGTGCATCTTTTATAGGAATGTCACAGAAGCAATGCCGTGTTTTTCTTGTTGCATTTAATCAGTGGATTATAATGCATTACTATAAATGGTTCTTTTCTTTTTCAAATTGAGCTCAGTTTGACTACTTAGAACCCATTCAGGCTGTATTTGGGGGGGATTTGAGTGTTTTTTTTTCATTTCTAAAAAAAATTTATTTTTAATTCACAAATAATAATTATATATATTTATGGGGTACGATGTGATTTTTTTTTTTTTTTTGGAGACAGGGTCTCACTCTGTCACCTTGGCTAGAGTGCAGTGGCATCATCATAGCTCACTGCAACCTCAAACTCCTAGGCTCAACCGATCCTCCTGCTTCAGCCTCCCATGTAGCTGGGACTACAGGCTCAAGCCACCATGCCTGGTTGATTTTTCTATTTTTTGTAGAGACAGGATCTTGCTCTTGCTCAGGGTGATCTCGAACTCCTGGCTTCAAGCAATCCTCCCTCCTCAGCCTCCCAAAGTGCTAAGATAACAGGTGTGAGCCACCACACCCAGCCCAATGTGATGTTTTGATACATTTTTACATTGTGGAGAGATTAAATCAAGCTAATTAAGAAATCCTCACATGCTCACCTCACATACTTTTGTGATGAAAACATTTAAAATCTACTCTTTCAGCAATTTTGAAATATATAATGCATTGTAATCTTTTTTTTTTTTTTTTTTTTGAGACAAGAGTCTCACTCTGTTGCCTGGGCTACAGTGCCATAGCGTCAGCCTAGCTCACAGCAACCTCAAACTCCTGGGCTCAAACAATCCTCCTGCCTCAGCCTCAGTAGCTGGGACTATAGGCATGTTTCACCACGCCTAGCTAATTTTTTCTGTTTTTAGTAGAGCACTCATTCTTGCTCAGGCTGGTCTTGAACTCCTGG